TGGGAGGATGTGAATGAAGTAATATTACATCAATTGGCCAAAGGGGGGCGCTATAGCAACCTATTTAAATTTCAAACTTTGAATGGGCATATCTCATGCCCCGTATGTCGTAGAGACATGAAACTTTGCACAGAGATGCCTCTCCTCATGAGGAACACATTTGCCTCAAGAACCCATAACTTCCAGTTTTTAGATTTTCCGCCATTTTGAATTTTTTGAAAAACACTTCAAATCGATCTCTTCCTAGGAAGTTTGACCGATCTGCATGAAACTCAGTGAACATAATCTAGGGATCAATATCTAAAGTTCCCTCTTGGCAAAAGTTGGAAAACTTACTAAAACTGAGCTTCTACAAGGCAATGAATATTGAGGAGGGCGTGGCTCATCACATAAAGGTGTATAACATCTCAAGAGTTTCACCGATCACCACGCAACTTTGTAGGCATATGACCACACATAATCTGAGGGGACCCCTCCATTATTGACCCCATCAAACAAAATGGGGGCGCTGGAGAGCTAATTTCTTATCTAGGCCTAACCGCCATATCAATTTTTACTAAACTTAGTAGATATGTAGAACAGGACGCCTCAAGGTGACTGGATAAATTTAACTCTAATTGGCAACTGGGTGGCGCTATAACAACAGAAAAATGCTTAAAAATGGCTAAAATGTGACCGATCACTGTGGCTCCCCCTGTGGCCCAATGGTTTTTTTTTTCTTTCTAATTTTTGGTATGACTAAGTCATGGCATGGTATGCTGTACATAATCACGGAAACTGTCAGTGTGTCATTCTACCAGTGTGCCCCACTTTTAAGTCAATACAACATATAAACACTTTAACTATCTGCCTTTCAACGTGCTACCTCAACTACTAATGTACAGTTTCAGCCCACTAACTATCCCACTATTGGCGATGCTACTACTGTACTTTCAATAAAGTGATCTTACTATCAAATTCACAAAACTCTGTCTGAATACATTGCTCTTCTTAATGGGTTCAGTTGACTATTTAATCTGCAATTTCCTATGACCTGTATCCCAAACACACACCATGCTAACATGCTGATGTTATTAAGGTATAATGTTTACCATCTTAGTTTAGCATGTTAACATGCCAACATTTTCTTTTTAGCACAAAACAAGTACAGCTGAGGCTGATGGGGCCCACCCACGGGCCATCATATTGATATGACTAACATTAACTGATTGATATTGTTATTTAAACAACGACGATGTTTCAGTGGTTACTGATGCGACCTATCATTAGAAAGCTGAGATTCTTATGACTGATGCAAACCACTTCAAGGTACAACCACCACAGCAGGTTCAATCAGACCACCGACAAACACACAAACAGTTAAAACTCACCTGCCTCATTGCAATCCACTGATCCATAATATTGCAACAAAAACAGTCCTCATACACTGGTTAAGGTCCAGATGATCCAAATCCACTAAAACATTTTGTCCAAACACATTATTACATCCATAAATAGCCATGGACTGCTGTTGGATCCTTTTAAATGTTCTAATATCACCTGTTACATGTGGTTGTACTGCCATGGGCAAAGCCCTTGGCAAAATGGCTGCTCCACTTTGACCCCTTGATTGACACTTCACTTGACCCAATAGGAACTTCCATGTCCTGCCCACAGCCTACAATAGCCAATGAGAGCCTGTGTTGCAACAAAGTACCTGCCCTCTCTCCTTGTCCAGGGATCCTGCCAATAGAAAGAGGTTGTGCCGATGACTGACACTTCTTAAAGTCAATTAAACTCCTTAAACAACAATGCAATATAAATGTAAATAAATAAATGCTAAAACAAATGGCACTTTTATTATCTTTAGGGGAAAATCCAGTCTTTCTGATTAATTCCGATTTTCTAAAAGTCTTTATAAAGGCAATAAAATCCTAATTAAACATTTCTGTCTATTGATTTGTTTTTCACTCTTGATCACACATTGTTATAACCTCTTTTTTTGACAAGCACCAAGATAAACCTATGTAAAATATTCTGCCGTATTGCTATCTACTTTGAAGCTGGACTAGGTGAGGCTTCATGCTGTGGTCACACTGTCCAGCTAATAGTTCCCATTTATCTGCAAGCATCTGTTTTCAAGAAGATATTATGTAAAAACCTTCTACTTCAGTGTGCTCAATCTTGTGTCACTCAATGCCAGTAGCACTGTTAGTGATTCTGACTGGGAAAAAAACTTCAGCGCTACCTTTCAAAATAGACCATTTACATGCATATGTAACAGGGTCAATTATACAGCAGTAATATATGTAACAAAGTCAAATGTACATTTGTCATATTAAGTGTTATAATTACACAAAATTAGTTTCAGTTGTTATTACCTGACACGCTCAGGCCTCTATAGCCAATATGTGGAACGTCTGATACTCAGTTTTTGTACCCCTACATTCACCTTTGGGGGTACCCCACCTATAAAGGGGTGTCTCCCACCTTACCTCTCCCCTTTTGCTGTTGCACTCCATGGGAGAGGTAAGTGACATTGCCCTAGTAGTAATATTAATGTTTCAGCGCTGTCTTAATTGACGGAGGATTTCCGTTTTTACCTTTTGCTGTCAGGTATGTTTTCTGTGTTTTACATTACTGAATTGAATATAACATGGCTGCCCTTTTGCTGTTGTACTCTATGGGAGAGGGGCTCAAGTTATATGATAATAATTTACAGTTTTGTTTTTAACCTCTTGCTGTCAGAGTTGTCAGGAATAAACAGAGATAGCCTCCAAAGATATCCACAGTCTGGGCCTCTTCATATCAACACAAGGCAGACAACACGAGAGTCCACCAGTTAACATACACTTCAAATGGTCCAAGTACAGCTTTACCTTGGGTATTCCCTGGATAGGTGTTTAAGGCAAAACTTACAGTAATGATACGAGGTTTCTCAACACTAAAGACGTGTAAAAATGTGACCTGGTGATGGTGCTAGATGAAAAGGCCGGGAATCCCCACAGTTGGTAGGTTAAATCCCATGGGTATCATGAATGTCTGTCCAAAATGTAACAACAAAATGTCCAGTAGCTGTTGAGAATAAAAACAATTTTAAAAAAAACATTAATTCATTCATTTTCCGTAACCGCTGATCCTGTTGGGGGTCGAGGGGTGGCTGGAGCCTATCCCAGCTGACATTGGGCGAGAGGCAGGGTTCACCCTGGACAGGTCACCAGACTATCACAGGGCTGATACATAGAGACAGACAACCATTCACACTCACATTCACACCTACGGCCAATTTAGTCACCAATTAACTTGCACGCCTTTGGACTGTGGCAGGAAACTGGAGTACTCAGAGAAAACCCACGCTGAGAACATGCAAACTCCGCACAAAAGGGTTTCCTCCACCCTGGCTTTGCACCCCTAACCTTCTTGCTGTGAGGCAACAATGCTAACCACTGCACCACCGTGCCGCCTGTTGAGTATAATGACTGAAGAAATGAACGAATTGTTTAGTACTGTGTCATGCAAGCAGCTACGCCCAGCCCACACAGGTTTACAAGACACAATGAAGGCAAGAGTCTGGACCAGTCAGGACCAGAGTCCCGCATACATATTTTGGCATCAAAAGGAAAGAAAATGGAACAAAGCAGCAAAAGCATCGTACATAATCAGGTCATCATTGTGTAAAATATTTCAGTCTGAACCAAAGTGGTGGACAGACTGACTGACAGACCAACATCACCATCGAGAGAGCCGCTCTGCTAGCTAAAATACTGACCTAGTCTGTTGCCCTACTGACTGTGTGGACACTGTGACCTATCTTTAAAGCTATGATTGATTATTAAATACAGTATATAGCACAAATTCAAAAGGCCTCGACCCTATATCACCAAGCTGTGGTGCATATTGCCACATTAAGTCGCATAAAGCACTTGTCTGCAGCCCTCTCTCAGGGCAATCTGTGCCCTTGTGGCCTATTTTTTTTCTCCCTGCACCACTATTTCTCACCCCAGTTGTGTAAGAACTTGCGGCTTCTTCTGGAGATGAAAATTACTGTAAGTCAGTCAGTAAATGTCAAGTCAGACCAAACATGTTAACTTTGTGAGAATCAAAGGAATTAAATGTTTGAAATTCGTTTTGGCCTCAGCAGTGTTTTAGATCTACACATAGTTCAAAGAAGGGTGCCGGAAGTTCAGGTCACTTCTTTCCCCTAAAACAAACGCTGGCTATTGTTTTCACTAAAGATGAGCGCTGTCACCTTGACTGGAAGATGGCTAGTGAAAACCCAAAATAGACTACTACTACTAGCTTTCAGTCCCCCCATAGTCCTGCAATAACGCCATAGGTTCACAGCCCTTCTGTGGAAGAGCAAAGTGTTACTCTAAATGTTAAAAATACATTTCCTCTATGCGGCTTTGTGCTTTTTTTTTTTACCACGAACTCTCCAAACTCCATCACATCAGTGTGACTGAGAAAAACACTCAAAACAAAACCACACCACACTAAGAATGTGCCGACGTCAAACAAATTATTGCTTAACATCATACTTAAGTGAAATTGTTACGTATACTAAAAATATACTGTCTTTAATTTTATCATTCATCCCCTTGCTTTGATACTAATCCGGGACTTTGTAGGAAAGAATAATCACTGTTATGCAATAATATTATAAGATGAATACAAGCAGACATCTCTGGTGACTACAGCTCCAGACTATTTGTCTTTTGTTAATTTGAATTAGATCTAAAATGTATTAAAGTCATTTCTGTGTGTTTAAAATACAGTTTATGTATATTTTTTCTGTCATGATTATGTTGCTTTAGAGTCATTAGCTGGTCTATCCCGGCAAAAACAAAAAAATTCTGCAGCCCAGATTTACTGAAAATGGGTCACTGGCTTGCAGAATTTAACAGGAAGTACATTTTCTGTGTTTCAGCCAATCAGTGTGATTTCCACTTTGTAAACCTTGATCACCTTGTGACTAAATCTTCCATCTGAGTGGGAAGACACCAGTTGTGCAAGAGAAGGGCTCTGTACCACAATGATCCGTAGACAGTCTGCTTTGATTCTCCTCAGTACCTTGTGTGAGTGCAACTTTACTTTTCTACTTAAAATATGGTTTGTTTTGTTTAAAACTACAACAAAATCATATTACATATTTTGTATTGTCTATGTATTTTATATAGTATTTGTATTGTATTGTTTGTAGCCTCCTGTCTGTGTTTAATTGTCTTCTGTTTTACATTATTCATTTTACATTATTAGTTGTCCTGTTTTTGTCTCTTTTCTTCAGCTCTGATTCAAACTGCAGAGGTTGCTGAGCAGATCTCTTTGACTGTGGTTGAACCTGGTGGTAGTTTGAATCTGACATGTCCGTTCTTTGGAAATGAAGCTGGGTTGTTTTACTGGTATAAGCTGAAGTTTGGATATATGGTCCAAACAGTTGCAGCGGGGACTTTTAGGACAGTAAATCTTCATGTACTATTTGACAACTCAAGATTCACAGTCACAAAAGTGAACAGTCAGTATGTTCTCAACATCAGAAATGTGAGCAAAGAAGACGAAGCAACATACTTCTGTCAAGCAGGATCGGCATACATAATGAAGTTCATTAACGGCATGCTTCTGGTTGTGAACGGTAAAGTATGTTCTTTTGCTGCTTTGTCAAAACCAAACAATCCATTCATTAATTCCTGCCTCTTTATGAATCACACAGATCATAAAAATCAGAAGAAGTCTTTCTACGTGAAACAAAATCCGGAGGCTGAGTGGGTCGAGCAGGGCGAAAGAGTGACTCTCGAGTGTTCACTTGTCTCCACAAACAAAGAAACCTCAGATGAGTGTCCAGGTGAACACAGTGTGTACTGGTTCAGATCTCGATCAGGAGAATCTAATCCAAGCATCATTTACACTCAAAGTGATGAACAAGAGGAGAGAAGTTGTTTCTACAGTCTGTCCAAAACTATACAGACCTCCTCTGATACTGGGACTTACTACTGTGCTGTGGTCACATGTGGAGAGATCCTGTTTGGTGAAGGAACCAAAGTGGAAACAAGTACGTGTTTACATTCATTTTTAGGACTTTGCCTTTTTTCTTGTAAATACTGAGTAGATTTACCTCCTCAGGCCTCTGAGTTGATTCAGATTAGATCAGATATATGTACGAACAGCTAAAAATACTTTATGTAATCTTTGATGAGGGGTGGTGACTTAACTTTGTGTTTCACAAACCATAAAGGCTGGAAACCACTGAATTAGTTCATAGTATGCACAGGCTACTTGCGGTGGACTTGTAATGGCAACTCGTAGATGTGCAGTCCTTTCATGCTTCCCCCGCTTCTCTTCCCCTCTCTGTTATATCTTTGTATGTGTGTGTGTGTGTGTGTGTCTCCATTTCCTGTGGTAGTCTTTGTGCTATCCAGGCCTCTCTGCTGTTCTTGTGCATTTTTTTTGCGTCATTTTTGTTGTGACTAGATGCCAGTCACTGCAACCAAAAACATTACTGTAACATTCAGCAAGTTTTTGACACACTTTTGGTAAAACTTAGCCTGACATCGCCCGACCAATCGCAAATAGTGCTGGATAAACCCAATCTTTTTACAGAACTGGCTCCTTTGAGTTGATACATTTATCAAACTTTTTGAGTGCTGATACTTTTTGGCAAATTATGGTGTCAGTTTCTCTGCGACACCTTGTACAGTACTTGCACACTCAAAAGCCAGTGCTGCCCACCCCACAAAACTTGACCTCAATACATTACTAGTCAACATGTGTAAGTTTACATTAATACAGACAAAATATTCATTTCATGCACTAATTCTTACCCCACATTTATGTAGGGAGGCTATGTAAGGTCAATATGATGTTACAGAAATGTCACTGACTAACGTTCTTTGAGGGGCGGGTAGCAGTTACCCCTGCAGCCTTGTGCTACATACATGTGGTGTTGTAATATTCTGAAAAATTAGCTCTTGGTCATACCTCATGGCTCACCCTATCTGTATCATTTGTTCTTTGCTGTTGACATGCTGTTTAAACCATCTTTGTAACATCAATGTTATTTCCATATTACAACTTAAAGCTCATGAACACACCGAAGTTAGAAGAACAACCATCTGAGGAGTATGTGAATGCACCCTTGGCTTTGGCTAGTAGATGTTGATGATTGCTTCTCTTTCACTTGCTGTAGCAGGCAGGGGTGAGCAGTAACCTACAATAACAGCGAGTAAGAGAGGTTGGGAATTTATGAGCACTGGGATATTTGACAGGCTGACCCAGTACATACTGGACACTAAAAAAGAGTTTTTCAAAAAGACTTGCCCATTCATTCTCGCTCATCGCTAATTGCAAATGCAAGTTCTCGGTTCATTTTCAATTTCCGAGGGGCGTTATCAATGACTGTAGACCAAAATGCCTATGGACACAACTGGATAGACCTGCAACCTGTCAGAGCAATGAAACATGTGATGTAGAGCTGGGTGACGGACATAGCCATGGAAATGTATTCTCAATAGGTGGGTGCATGGGTGCATATACTGTAGGCACTTAATCAAACAAAATTTAAACTATAGGCTATTGGTGCAGCTTGATTATGCAGACTGCTGAACACCATGGCAACAGTAAAAGATGTTACGCAGCAGCCGTATGACTATCGCATATTTGGTTTTTCTTTCTACATTAGCAGTTGTGATTGGCCTGACCTGGGCCAGGCCGACAGGAAATCTGTCTGAACAGCAATGGGACCAGATCATCTAAATGAAAACAGAAACTAAACAAAAGTACGAGTTAACAGTCAGCGGCTCAGAGAGGCTGTACTCAGGCACAGTCAGTACATTCATATGACATTAGAGAAAGTAGATTCATTATGTTAGTCCGACTAAAACCAAACTTTTAAAACACATGTAAACATGTAAGTCTGACTGAAATCGTACTAAATCAAATTTCTCAAAGTCAGACTTATTCAAATTACTCCTGCATGAATACAGTCAATCAGATCCAAACTGGCCTAGGCGCTCTGCACATGCTCCACAGTGTCCGCCCTGGGCTTTGAACCAGAAGTGAAAGCATTAAATGCGTAAGAGAAAAAGAAGACAGTCACAACATGGTGAAATCTACATTTAGAGCCGTGCATTTTTGTACGGATGAAATATACAAAGCTGTTAAGTTGTCCACCATGGTACTAGTTTGCCGCTAGCTAACTTGTTTGACGATTGTTTGGTCTGTGACGCAATAGGATAACCTAGGGTGACCATATTTTGATTTCCAAAAAAGAGGACACTTGGCCTGGCCACGAGATAGCCTACTTAAATGATACTCGCAGTTTACTCAAAGATGCCTTATAATTTTAATATATTTAAAGCTATAGTGCGTAACTTCTGTCGCCTCCCAGCGGATAATGCGTTATTACAACTAATAAGCCGGCGGCACTTCCATGTACACAAAGTAACACTCGCCAGTTGCCACACACCGTACACAGAGTAACACTTGCCTTTGTGGTAGGATCCACTTCTGAACCGTGTCTTGGCCGCTTCTCTGCCATGTTGCTTTCTCTTTCTACCTGCGCTCTACCTCTTGCTATGAGACTCTCCGCTCTTCCTTCCCCTCCCTTCTTGTTGTGAGGAAGCATTTCTTGTGTGCCAGCGCGGGAATGTAGCCGGTTGACACGCAAACTAAAAATGATATATATTGAAAAATACCGCGAGATGTTAGAGGAGCTGATCGGCTTAATCAGCATTGTGTCATCTCCTCTAGTAGTGGCTTGGGTGAAACGGACATTTACGGACCTGTAGAAGTTACGCACTATAGCTTTAAAGTTTCTATGTATGGATAGAAAATTCAGTTATATTACAAAATAATATCTCTCAAAGACAGAAATTCAGATAGGCCCCTATAGATAGGGGACACATACACACACTAGATTGTGGCTACCCAATCCGAGCCCGACGGGTCCCGACGGGTCGGGCCAGGCTCGGTCAAAAATGTATAAATTGTATTCGGGCTTGGGTCGGATTCGGTCAGCTTTCAGTGAAAATTTAGTGTAAAAATAAATAAAAACCTATTGTCTGTCCTGTTTATTGCTTGGGGACTGTTATTTACGTGACAACACCTGAACATAACACACACGGACACACATTAGCTGTTTGTTTCTACCTTGCTGGAAGCCTTGGACCTCCAGCCGCCCGTCTCTGCCTTGATTAAATGCTGAAAATAAAATAAGAGAGAGAGACAAGTTTTCCTATTTTATCTTATTTTGTTATATTTCTCACTCTCCTCTCGGTGGAAGCCTCGCACCTCCTGCCACCCGCTTCCGTCTCAAACACGGAGGTCTCCCTCTCCCTCTCTCTAACACACACACACACACACACACACACAAGGAAAACTGGACATTATCATCAATTTATAAAAACCCCCCGGATGCCCTGGACAGGACGTCAAAAGTGGACGTGTCCGGGCAAAAGAGGACGTTTGGTCAGCCTAACAAGGTCAACTACTAACAAGCTGAAAGGGGGCATATTGTCACCTATTGTCGCGGAGTACTTCGGTCAGTTAATCAAAGACTGTAGTCCAATTAAATGGCCTTGTCGAACTATAATCGTAGCTCAACTTAACTGTGCATGTGAATGTACTGAGTGATGCTTAGAGCTAAATGCTAAGCTCAGATTTGATGTCAGCACTAGATAAAAACGTATATATCACCAAAGCTAATTTATCCTGAGGGTAACTACGTACCACATTTCAATCAATTCAGTGTCAAAGGCTAGCATTTATCAGTTGGACAGTAAGTCACTGGTAATGTGGATCAAGTGTTGGGTTTTGCTTTCGGTTTTTCCTGACAGAGAAAAGAAAAGGTCTGGTAAAATAGGTAGCTAATGATCACTTCCTGTATGAAACTTCCTCCGGAGTTCACAGTCAGTTTTGTAGCTGTAAACTGTTAATAATAATTATATAAAATCTATGACATTACATTTTATTTAGTAGTTAATTAAGTTTCTCTTTGGGATTTTTTTTCTCGTTCCAGAAAATCAGCTGTGCCCATACCTGGTTGTGCTCGGGATACTGCTGGGCTGCTCTGTGATTGTGATTGTGGCTCTAATTATCTTCCGAAATCGAAAGCCAGTTTGTGAAAATCAAAGAGGTACGTTCGTCGTGTGTGAGTGGATTATTCGATTAACTAACCACGTTACATTTCAGCACTATTTGAATGTGTTGTTATGACCAGCTTGTGACTGGATAGTTGGTGGTCCTGAGATTGCAGACATTTCAGTCAGATGTCAACAGTAATTTCACTGCCAGTGCTCTCATTCACAGGAGGAGCTTCCATTCATGACGGATCAGCTGACGATCAAGCAAGTAATGTGGTAAATATGATTTAAATATAATCTAATTTATTTCTGAACTGAATCAGTCTACATTGGTTACATGCCCTGGATGGTAATGTGAATGCTGATTTAAAGGATAAAAAACACAGAACACAGCAAGCTGCATCACTTTCTTTAAGTTTGTTCAAAAAATCTAATAAACAAACTCTGAGCTAGAAAAGGTGTGAAATTCTCAGCTTGGTCTCACTCCTCAGGTGTCAAAAACTGCTGCTTGGTCAGTGGCCCTGGACGTATAAAGCACAATTTAGCATCTGTATGAGACACACGGGGCTTTCAGCAAACTCCAATGTAAACCCATCCTCATTATTTTTTTATGCACAGGGCAATGGTGTGGGTGAAAGGGTCAAACAAGCATAGGACTTTGACCGGTGTTCATATCCCATGTGAAACTAAAAGTCAACAATGACTTCTTTTGTCACGTCAGTCGTAAGTTGCGCTATTCTTCAATCCCCCATTAGTCAGATGCGTTGCCTCACATGACTAAATTCAGCTACAACCCCTACTTTATCCCCATAACCAAGTGGTGTTGTTGCCTAACTAAAACAATTTTATTTCAGAAAGAAATCACCACTAATCACAAGTCACCAAAATTAAATAACTGGAATGATTTTGGTCTTTTTTATATATATACAGTACAGGCCAAAAATTTGGACACACCTTCTCATTCAATGCGTTTTCTTTATTTTCATGACTATTTACATTGTAGATTCTCACTGAAGGCATCAAAACTATGAATGAACACATGTGGAGTTATGTACTTAACAAAAAAAGGTGAAATAACTGAAAACATGTTTTATATTCTAGTTTCTTCAAAATAGCCACCCTTTGCTCTGATTACTGCTTTGCACACTCTTGGCATTCTCTCCATGAGCTTCAAGAGGTAGTCACCTGAAATGGTTTTCCAACAGTCTTGAAGGAGTTCCCAGAGGTGTTTAGCACTTGTTGGCCCCTTTGCCTTCACTCTGCGGTCCCGCTCACCCCAAACCATCTCGATTGGGTTCAGGTCCGGTGACTGTGGAGGCCAGGTCATCTGCCGCAGCACTCCATCACTCTCCTTCTTGGTCAAATAGCCCTTACACAGTCTGGAGGTGTGTTTGGGGTCATTGTCCTGTTGAAAAATAAATGATCGTCCAACTAAACGCAAACCGGATGGGATGGCATGTCGCTGCAGGATGCTGTGGTAGCCATGCTGGTTCAGTGTGCCTTCAATTTTGAATAAATCCCCAACAGTGTCACCAGCAAAACACCCCCACACCATCACACCTCCTCCTCCATGCTTCACAGTGGGAACCAGGCATGTGGATTCCATCCGTTCACCTTTTCTGCGTCTCACAAAGACACGGCGGTTGGAACCAAAGATCTCAAATTTGGACTCATCAGACCAAAGCACAGATTTCCACTGGTCTAATGTCCATTCCTTGTGTTTCTTGGCCCAAACAAATCTCTTCTGCTTGTTGCCTCTCCTTAGCAGTGGTTTCCTAGCAGCTATTTGACCATGAAGGCCTGATTCGTGCAGTCTCCTCTTAACAGTTGTTCTAGAGATGGGTCTGCTGCTAGAACTCTGTGTGGCATTCATCTGCTCTCTGATCTGAGCTGCTGTTAACTTGGGATTTCTGAGGCTGGTGACTCGGATGAACTTATCCTCAGAAGCAGAGGTGACTCTTGGTCTTCCTTTCCTGGGTCGGTCCTCATGTGTGCCAGTTTCGTTGTAGCGCTTGATGGTTTTTGTGACTCCACTTGGGGACACATTTAAAGTTTTTGCAATTTTCCGGACTGACTGACCTTCATTTCTTAAAGTAATGATGGCCACTCGTTTTTCTTTAGTTAGCTGATTGGTTCTTGCCATAATATGAATTTTAACAGTTGTCCAATAGGGCTGTCGGCTGTGTATTAACCTGACTTCTGCATAACACAACTGATGGTCCCAACCCCATTGATAAAGCAAGAAATTCCACTAATTAACCCTGATAAGGCACACCTGTGAAGTGGAAACCATTTCAGGTGACTACCTCTTGAAGCTCATGGAGAGAATGCCAAGAGTGTGCAAAGCAGTAATCAGAGCAAAGGGTGGCTATTTTGAAGAAACTAGAATATAAAACATGTTTTCAGTTATTTCACCTTTTTTTGTTAAGTACATAACTCCACATGTGTTCATTCATAGTTTTGATGCCTTCAGTGAGAATCTACAATGTAAATAGTCATGAAAATAAAGAAAACGCATTGAATGAGAAGGTGTGTCCAAACTTTTGGCCTGTACTGTATATATATATACATATAAAAAAACAAAAAATGAAAAACAGTGTTTACACAAAACAAACATCATTGTCCTGATTTGAAGTCTGACATTTTGTTGACCTATCTGTCATCGTCACATATTGACGTTTGGTCATGGACTTTCCACATCCACACACGACGTGCAAGGTACCCTGGGTGCGTTGGTTATTGACGTTCTGGGATGCCGTGTTGAGTCCTGCCTGTTACAAGCATTGTCTTCTTTCAAAACACTCTTCCGTTTTCACGGGAACATTTACTACATACAGTCTCTTTTAAGATAAACGCACTTCATCAGTACATCTTTCGTCCTTGTCCTGCCACCTCTTCTTCTGATGCCGCTGGGCACCATTAAACTATAACGGCAACCCGCCGTGTATCATGCCAACGTTAAAGGACACCTTTTTTGTGTTGGTTTCTGAACCTGCAAATCACTGCACAAGCATAAGATTTTTGATGACTTCGGAATGAGACCAGGCTCATCTGTCCGTGATTTCTTTTACATCTATAACAACATCACACCACATCCTCCATTGCTCCTCATGGAAAAAAGTCATAAATACTGCTGCTGGAGGCTTTGTCACTTATATTACATTACATATTAACATATGTAGGTTTTATGCACTTGATTAAAGGTCTGATACTTGTTCTTAGCGAACAGTCTTCATCCATCACAACTTTATTGTAAATAATGTAAAGCTGTTATTTTTACATTTTTACTTTCTTTAATCAGATACAGTTCCTCACCAAATCCTGTTGTCTAGAAATAATTAGGGATGCATGATAATATTGGTACGTCATCAGTATCAGCTGCTATCGGCTTTAAAATCAGAATCGCCCAACATGCTTCTTTTTACTTTGAACAATGAATGAATATACATTGAAAAGTATTTTATTTCATGTCTCCTTCAGCTGGTGGGCCATCACAATAGAGCATGCATGCATAATGCGATGTTAATTCCACTACAGAAGATACTTGATGATCACTAAAATTAGGTCGGGGAAAAAGTGGATATATGGATAGCGGTATCGGTTATTGGCCAAATTAATTGTTACATATTGTCATATCGGCAAAAAATCCGATATCATTCATACCTAGAAATTCTGTTTATATACCATGCTAGTTTCCTAGTTGTATTGCCCTGACAAACATAATCGCTGCCTGGATTATCTTTAGATGAGCTGGCTGTGGTTTAGGAGGTAGAGCAGTCCACCATCACTCCCACTGGTTGCGGCATCTATGTGTGAGTGTGTGTGAATGTTTATCTGATGAGCAGGTGGCACCTTGTGTGGTTGCCTCAGCCACATGTGAATACGTGTGTGTAAATGGGTGAATGGTGTCATAAAGTGCTTAGATTGGTCGCTAAGACTAGAAAAATGCTATACAAATGCATTTGTGTCTGTTTTAAAACATTACTTTATTACAGCTCTAACATCTTACAATCCTAACTATGCTTTACAGGATGATGAAGCGGTGGCGATGAACTATGTAGCGCTGGATTTCCCCTCAAGAAATGCTAAAAGATGGACAAATACCAGGGAGTTTCCACAGGACTGTCTGTACTCTGGCACCAGAGAGTATCAGTGAAATGCTGCCACCATGAAGGAAGAACATCTGACATGTTCACTGTCGATTAAAATCATTTTTATGTAGCTGTTTAGGTAAATGAGATGACATGAGAGAATTTTGCCGTGATGTACATTTAATAGCATAATCAACAACATTAGTTTAGCATAGAGACAACACTTGTGTTTGGTGATGTTATGTGGTTATATCAAGGATAGATATTTATTTTAATCTTATTATTATTTCATTTGTTTTTTTTATTATTGCGTGTGAGATTAATTTGAATCATCACTCAGAATCTGAATGAAATTTTAAAAAATGTTTACTGCCATTAAACAGAACATCCATCCTTGTTCCTTTTATTGTGATATGAGACACTTTGGTGAATATTTACTCAGTTTATTTTCTTTAAGGGGGGCGACTGGGGTGCAGGTAATTTTCTTCTAATTTTTCTGAGTGTGGTTTACAGTTGCTGGAATAAATATATAAAACATGAATATGATTAAGTTAAAGTGAAGAGCCCCATTAACATCAGTTAGGCTTTTAGACAGTGGAGAGATGTCCGAAGGTTGAAAGGCATGAAGATGGAGGTTGCTCTGTGTCTGCAAGAAAGGTGGGTAACACTAGTTTTGCTGTTTCACAGAACTGATACCTGTAGGTCAGCTGTGAGCGTCCCTGTCTGGTGTGCTGTTTCTGAGAAACGGTCTCGTCCTCTTTGCATGTAAGCTTTGCAGTAGCAACTGAAGCAACAGATGGCTACTGTTACACCCCAGTCTAGAGGTGTTAGAGCATACCATAATAAGTGAAACAGTGTCACACACAGATGATAAAAGCCGTCCTTTAACGTCGGCTTGAAACACAGCTGGTTGCTGTTATAGTTTGTCAAAAGAGCTCCAGCAACACCTGTGGTATGGGAAAAAAAAAAAAAACTATTGACTGACGCTTTTCGGCTTGTGACCTTCATCAGGGTCATCAAGAAACATATTGCACACATCATTTAAATAGGTTCATTTGAAATTGAAAGAGTAGAAAAAAATAAAAAATGTATGCATGTGACCAATCCTATGCATCCACGTATATATATCTCAGCCAATGAATCATTAGTAAAGGTGAGTGTGTTGGAAGCACATGAGACCTTTGGATCAACCAGAACTGCCAGAGAAGTAAGGGGAGTGTCTAGCAGAGGTATAGAAAACACCTTGTTTGGTCGGGGATTTAAAGTGCCATACACAGAAAAAATGAACAAAAATTACAAAAAGGTAAAAAAAAAATATAAATAAATTAAAAATAAATAAATAAATAAAACAGAAAATAAATAAATAAAAAAAAGAATAAATAAATAAAAAAATTTTTTAAAAAAAGTTATAGTTTTACGGCACCTAGTGGCGTCAGAGGGGAACGCAGTGGTACAAGAATGAAAGTTAAGATGGTGAAAGTGGGTTGGGTGGGATGAGTGGTGGATGGGACCAACAAACACCGACTTTCACCTGGGAGAGCGGTGTTTGCGTCCTGTAAGATTCTAAAGCCAAACCCTGTTCTTTTTTCCTAAACCCAACCACGTGTTTTTGTTGTTGAAAGAAAATGTATTTGAAAGAGACTGTGTATATTTCCTGTGGAAACGGAAGTGTATTTTAAAGAAGATGATGCATGTAACAGGCAGAACTTGACACGGTGTCCCAGAACGTCAACAACCAATGCACTCAGGGTACCTTGCACGTCGTATGTGAACGTGGAAAGCCCATGACCAATTGTCGATATGTGACGAGGTCGGAGTGAGAATGTGTTGGATGACCAAGCAGCTGCTTTGAATGCCCTGGGAGTGAGACCACACCATAATTTACAAAATGAACATCATGCTGTACTGAAGAAGACTTGGAATTAGCGACTAAGACCATAAACTCATTAGGAACATTTTTACTAAGGTAATAAATCAGAAGTAGGTTCACTCTCTCATAGACTTCTTTACAAGTGCACTTCTTCTTGCAACCAGTGGAGTGGCCCCCTACTCTTCAGTATCAGGCTTCGCTTTTCAGACCTGGAGGCTACATCCACTTCCTTGATACAGTCTCTACAGAGCTAGATCCATGACAAGCATTAAAAGTATTAGTACTAAGCAGTGCTACCATATTTGACTTACTGTGTGGAAATCTGGGGCAACACTTACAAAAGCAACTTACAACCATTATACATCCTTCAAAAGTGAGCAATCAGGACAGTACACAGTGTGGGGTACAGGGAACACATGAACACACTGTTTTTAAAGTCACATGCACTGAAATCTTTAGATCTGGTCAAATTAAGAAAAAAAACAACAACAATCAAAAAACAATGTGTTTGTACAATTAAGAAGAATCTGTATTTCAGTGTTCGGGGTGGACTTGTGGAATGAGCTGCTTGATGAGTTGAAACTAAGCACAAATAAAAAATCATTTCAAAAAACTATACAAAAAAGATATTTTTGGCAGATATATAGTTGAGGTAGGTAGGTAGGTAGGTACTTTATTAATCCCGAAGGAATTCGGGAGGAGAGGTTGTGTTAGGGTAGTGCATATGTATATTGTAACACTGGTACTTGGACTGTAAATACACTGGGTTAATTACTTATTTATTTAATTGGGTGGTAAATAGACTGGGGATAGTTGTATATTAGTTGTGATTAAATTTGGAATTTATTGAAATTATTTTTGTGTTAAAAGAATAAATGTAAGAAATGGGTAGGGACATAAGTTCTACTTCTACCTAGCCCTTTTTGGACACTGTTATCTTTGTCTTGTTTGGTTTTTATTTCATTATTTTTTTTATTTATATTCAAAAATGAAACCACAGTATTTTAATCTAAAGATATGCATTTAACCCAGTTAACCAGATTTAACATGTTTTAAAGGAAAATAAGTTTTTATATCTGTTTTGTCAAGCTCTATGCTGCCATTTTCAAGTTTGATCTTTTCATATCATCAGAGCGAATGAGTTCAGTATACAAATTAACAAATACATTAAAATGGAATTAAGTTTCTTTTTAGGAGACTCTCCCTCTGTCTGCTTTTCTTTCTCTCTGTCTGCATGGTTGTAAGCACATTTACACACAGAAAGCATTTGAGCCTTTTAATAAAAATGTTTTTAATTATAGCAATTTACAAATTTCAGATTATCACAATACGCATTTGTCAAACAGTAAATTTTAAAAACCTGAGATTTAACTATGTAAGAAATGCAACAACATATCTCTAACTGAGCTGGATTGATAAGATAAGATAAAAGAACAAAAAACAAATGCAAGCACATCATCTAACATAATGTAAGGCTCAGATGAAATACACAACGTTAAAACCAGTATCAGCATTTAACCTGAGAGTACACACTGTCCTCAGCACACTCTCTTTTCTTTCTTCTTCTTTTCTCTGAGAAGTTCAGCGCAGCGTAGTTCAGTGTGTCGTCAGCTGCAGTCTGTGTAGAAAATACAGTAATTACATGCATGTAATGATATAAATTTCCGATATTTAACTGGGGTAACAATATTGTTCATTGGTATTATTACTTACATTAGCATGCACTGATTGGCGCAAATTGGCATGTCGTTCTTCTGAAGTAACACTTTCCATTCCTGAGGATGAATTAAATCATAAAAGATATGAACATGCACTTAATCTGACTTTTCAGTTAAAGTTTAATGTCAGAAAATAAAAAGCCTACTTAGTCAGATAAAATATAGTTTGAGGCTTTGAGTTTAATTAAATTATTATTATAAATATATTCTTTAAAAATTCTGTGAAAAATGATGCCTATGATTTTAGTTCAGTCTTGTTCTGTATGTAACATGCATGAATAAATGCATAAATAATTTTAATTTTATACATGTGATCAACATGTTTTAAACTTACACTCTTACAACACTTACCTTTACATCGTTCACATGTTTTTCGGTTGCAGATGAGGACAACATTTCCCACAGCAGAAATGACCGAACAGACTGTTAATATCGCCACTGCAATAAATACTAAATGTGTAGTTTGCACTAGAAAAAGAAAAAGACACTGGTCAATTGTGACGTTATCAACAAATGTTGAGTATAACTTCCATTACTGAACGCCAAGTCATACCGATCTCCACTTTAGTTCCATCTCCAAATAATATCTGTCCACATGTGGCCACAGCACAGTAGTAAGTCCCAGCATCAGAGGAGCTGATGTTCTTAGAGAAGCGATAAATACAACTCTTCTGAGTGTCAGATCTCCGCTCACATTCCTCATGTCTGTTTCCATCAGTGTAGATGATGTCTGGATGAGATTGATCTGATCCGGCTCTGAACCAGAACACACTGTGATCTCCTGGACACATTTTATTCTCAGAGTCAGAGAGGACTGAACACTGGAGAGACATCGAGGCTCCTGGACGGACTGGATCAGATACTGTCGGCCACTGAACAACAGCATAGTTTGATGTCCTCTGAGTGTTTCCTGTGTGATACAGAATTGTTTTTAAGATCTCCAAGCACATTTTTAAAGCTTAAGTGGCATTGAAGCACAATATATCTCAAATACAAATCCAGCATGCTTGATGACACTTTAAAACTTTGTAAAAGTAAATTATTACCTTTTACCAACAAATACGTCCCACTCCACTGAGTATTAATCCACTCTGCAATGACACAATGATACATTCCCTCATCTTCTTGGATCGTCGCCACAATGGTCAGGTTGCTAAACGTCTTATCGTAATTTACCTCCAGTCGTGATTCAGAAAACTCTGGTGCATACTGTTTTGTTGATTTCCACAGAGTCACAATCAACTTCAGAGTCTCCCCAGCACTCTGCTTGTACCAGTAGAGTTTTCTACTGCTCAGCTCTTTATTAGGGAAATCACATGTCAATGTCGCAGGTGCACCAAGTTCAACCGTGGTCACTGGAGTCAGCGTATCTATAGATTAAATAAGATATTAAACAATAAATAATAATTAGTGTAGTGCAAAAACACACTGTTCATCATACATGTAGACTGCATGCAGATACAGATAAATGAGAAACTATTTAGCCATTATTGTTTATTACTTACAGCTCTGATGAAGGAGAAGCAGTGTAGCCCATACCACGATCATCTTGACATTGTGTCTTGTCGGGAGACTTGCTGGTGATTTTGTGAGTGAAGGAGGTGACTGGTCGTGATAGGTCAAACCATCCAGTGCATCTTTCATCTGATTGGTTATCAACACAGACATGCAATAAAAGAGCATTTCCTGCCACACTGGTCTTGTCATGGTCTGTGTGAAGCAAATTACCACTCTCTCTCACCCATTCACCAAAGTATATGATGTCAGTAAAAGTTCATGTTTTTTAAATGTTTATTTTAAGACCTATTTAACATTTGTTCTCAACATGCAACATGCATTTTATTTTCAGCAGGCACAGACAATGTTCATAAAGCCTTTGGTGCTTAAATGGTCATTTTTTGATTGTCTTCAGTGTTTATAAAATGGCACCCACTGACTCTAATGACATGGTGGTTATTGCTGCTTGTGGTACCCGGTACTTTAATATTCTTTGTCAAATCAAATTTTTTGTTTGCTATCCTCTCCTGCACCCAGAATTTATACTTCTGCATTGAATCAAAGCTGTACTTACTGTACGGTTTAGGCTCTGCATCGACGTAGAGCCTATGCCATACCCATAAACCCGTAAACCATTTCCCTCAGTGAAAACAAAGTTTTTATTTACTTTAATTTCACAGATAAGAAACAATAAATTGTGATAACAATAAAGCCACCACAAAAATAGCATTAGACAGTTGTTTTGTCTGTGAACTTTGTGAGTTGTAATGGAGCTGAATTTTGTAACATAACGTAAATGTTGCTGTCTCTGGTTTCATGTGACAGGAGAAAAGTTTGCCAGCTGCTAGGCTAATTCATACAATGTAAAATGCCATTGGCTGGTGCTAAAAACATTAGTATGTTGTATGTGTGGGGAAAATGTGTACAGCAAACGTCCGACGGTCAAAAATGTATAAATTGTAGCCTATTCGGGCTCGGGTTGGATTCAGTCAGCTTTCAGTGAATATGTAGTGTAAAAATAAATAAAATCCTATTGTCTGTCCTGTTTATTGCTTGGGCACTGTTATTTACGTGACAACACCTGAACATAACACACACAGACACACATTGGCTGTTTGTTTCTACCTCTCCCCTCGCTGGAAACCTCAGACCTCCCGCTGCCCACTCCTGTCTCAAACATGGAGGTCTCCCTCTCCGCGGACCACCCCTGGCACACGCCTGGCCTGTCAAATAGCCTGTAACCATAACAACTGTGTGACACAAACTCAGTGTTTTAGTCATTAAATAATGTCGGGCTCGGTTCGGTTTTGGACATAACAAAGCAGAATGACTGCCAGGTTCGGACGCGTTTGGACAGAAATATGCGGCCCGTGCCGCACTCTAAAACACACACACACATACACACACACACACACACACACACACACACACACAAGGAAAACCAGACATTATCATCAATTTATAAACACCCCCCGGACGCCCCAGACAGGACGTGAAAAGTGGACATGTCCGGGCAAAAGAGGACGTTTGGTCAGCCTACCATAGCTGACTAGTGTTTTGGAGGTGTAACTGCAGAGTGACACAGACACACCACTGCACAAGTATAAATTCTCCTAACGACGTAGGCTACGGCATAGGGTCTGCTGCACAAGTATAAATTCCGCTTTAGATGAATAAGGTCTTAGAAACTGGATGTACTACATTAAATCAGTATGTCATTTCGGGAACTGCCCATTGGTTCGACATCCCATTGTTCCGACCATATTAAACTCATTATTCCAAAGTCCGTTCCGAAATCATCATGACGCCGTGTGGTTAAGGTCTGGTTAGGTTTAGGGACAAAAACCACTTGGTTAGGGTCAGGAAAATATCATGGTGTGGGTTAAAATGAAAAAGAAAGTGGCAAACACATAAGCCGTGAGCCTGCTCTGCCTCAAGCCGGTCGCGGCGCACCATACGCCCGCCGCAAGCCGTTCAGCACCACGGACAGTCGGACTAATGGGATGTCGAACCAATGGGCTGTCGAACTAATGACATGGACCCGTCATTTCTGGATACTCCCTAGCTATATATATATGTACCGATTCTTGCTAATATGTCCCACTGTTATGCTCAAAACATAAATGTCACATCACTGCACCTGCACTAACAGACATCAGTCACTGGCGTCTACAGCTACATTATGTTAGCTGCTATGTGAGGCCATACTTGGTCATAGCCTTGGTTTGAGCTTGCTGCTAATGTCATCATGCTAACACGTTATAAGTGATGTTTAGCAGGTTTAGCATCTTTATCATTCTAGTTCAGCATGCTAACATTTGCTAATTAGCTGTAAATGAAGCAACGACTTCCAGGGCTGAAAAATGAAGCCAACACAGAAGTGCCAAAGACTGCAGTGCCTGTAACTGCCACATGAGGCTCCCAAACTGAGTCAGGCCCTATAGACTCTCAAGCAGGGGTGGAATTAACAAATTACATTTACTCTTGTTACTGGAATAAAGTCTTCTTTTTGTGTACTTGTTCATACTTCAAGTTGCAATCGGTGTGAGAACAGAACAAAAGAAAAGAGAGATAAATCAACAGCTGCAGCAAAGAAGAAGCTGTGGGTGTAGCCACAGGAGCGCATAGCTAGATAGGTGACACTGTGTTCAACTAACAGTCTGGAAACGAGATATGTGTTGGAAATGCTTACATCCACTGCTGAGCATCAGGGGTAGGAAAGGTGCAGAACAGTGGTCGCATCTGGCCTGGTCCTAGTATTTAGTGAACAGCACAAATGCACAACAATGCAGTTAAGCTAAGGATCACATCCGTATGGGTTATGCAGTGCTTAATTTGAGCCGGAACGTACTGGAACGCACCAGGATCTTTTTAGAAAAGGCCCTGGTGCATTCCGGAACTAATTTGCATGGGTCTAGAACTTTTCACATCTAAAAACTACATACAGTATTGGCTAATGTCACTAGTGTTGCAGGGTGGAGTACCATAGTACTATGGTGCCTCACGTGCCACTACTGTGGGATAAATTCAAAGTCCAATCGCAAGAGGGTGAGTGTCCATGCGCCGTCCAAAAACAGCGCGCGCTGGTCAATAACAGCGTGCGCTGGCCACCTGGCACTCAATATGCTGCTGTAGTGGTTTGTTTTCCAGACATGTGAGTATCTTTGAGCAGTGAAAGTTATTATTTATTTCTTTTGACTTGTCGGCAGTGATTTGTTTTCCACAGAGCTCTATGTGCGAGCATTTTACTCGCATTTGCAACTAAAAATAGTTTTGTGCGAGCAAAATAAATCATTCAGCATGCTGTGCGAGTACAGATTTCAACCAGCAGCAGAAACGAAAGGCGAATGTGGGTTGAACGGGGGTCACAGACAGGAATGTGGCGGTCAAATAGCCTACGGCGGCTCCGTGGTGCAAGATAACGGCTTACCGGCGACAGAGAAGTCCAACTCCAGGTCGTTGGTGTCATGACTGCCCAGTAGTACCTGGACAACCGAGCCGTGGCGGCACACAGGTATGTGGCGTGTCAGAGGAGAAACGAGCCGTTCACATTTCTCTCTTTGTGGCAGGTAACAGCCCACAAACCTCACCGCACTTTAAGGACTGTTCTTTACTTATGAAGGGGAGGAGGGTGGCTGGTTGATTCTTATTTTATTTATTTATTTTATTTCAATCCCCCCTATGTTCATCACTCATTGATGCTGTTTTTCTATGAATAAGTCAATAAGTAATTTATTCCATTGAAATATCATTGATGTATTATAAAAAAGTGATTTATCTTTTTATAAATGACAAAAGGCACATCTGCTTCATTTTTGCTGTGGTATCGTGATACTACTCAGAACCGTGATATTTTCACTGGTATCGTACCGTGGCTCCCAATTTTGGTACCGTGACAACGCTAGATGTCACAACCATTCCATTCGGAGTTGCTCTCTCAGAGGCCCAAAGTGTTCCCCTACTGCTAATTTTACAAATTAAGCACTGGGGTTATGGTTAGCATTATTTTACTGGGCATAGCCAAAAAACATGTTGCATCTATGAACCTTTATTAATCACTTATTCAATGCTCCACTTGGCAAGCATGCTCAGTGACCCAAATCAAACACACCTACGATGTTGTGTGACCCAGGTGCAGAGTCAGGCTAACATGCTCATAGTGGATCTGCCAGCGGTGACTTCTGCTTCCACTGAGGGGCTTTTGAGGGGCATTTTACTGATCTCCACACTCTATCAACTTCACTTCCTTGTTCTTGACTCACATGTCATCTAAACTAAGCAATCAGAAGCTAGGAGGGCTGAGACTGAAGTAAATGTAAGGAAAAACACAGGGGTAGATTGAGCAGATTATTGTAACTGTTTTAACATCACTGATGAACATATTTCAGCCATTTACTGTGTTCATTCACAGAGCTGCTAGCATAGCTGTAGACCCTCAGTCTGTCACCAAAATTCCATACTAGCATGCTATTTAGTGAGCTAAAACATTTTGTGAAATTTCTCAGTATGTCCGAAACCTTAGAACAATACCCATAGTATGTGATTTGCATACTTTTTCAAGTTAAATATTACGATATGCACACACTGGAAACTGTGCTGGCATAAAAAATAAAAGTTATACCGATAAAGGCAAATAACAATTTTTTTGGGTATGACATGGTTTGGACTTTTTGACAGCCATGCTAATGACATTACTCTGGAAATGCTGGCCAGTCACTCCACCACAAATATCTCACTATATTTGGATGACTTGCCATAAAATTTTGTACACACGTAAACATTATACCTGCTAAACATCAGCTTGTTAGCTTGCTAATGTTAGCATTTAGCTCATTTAAACATTATCTGGTGACGAAGATGCCTGTGACACAATGTTGCACATTGAGTGAGCCAGCAGTTCGCATTTTCTAACAGCTGAAGTAACGACACTCCTACAGATATGTTTAAAAAAGCCAAAACTCCAGAGGTTCATCATGCTTGAATTTGGCAGTAGAGCTGAGGTTGGTGTGGGTTACTATGTTTATGTGTCTCCAACAGCAAGGAGGCTCTAA